ATGGCTTGTGTTTTGGATGTTAGGCTCTGTGGGCTATGGGTTTGGACGGTTGAGAGGATGGTTGAGGGTTCATGGGTTTATGGGTTTGGGTAGGTTTACGGTTTCCAGGCGACCCCAAAAACCATCAAGAAGCTGAGCATCAATGTATGTTGTGGATCCCTATAGTAGTCCCTATATCATAATCCATTCCCCCACTCCCTACTAAGAACCAGACAGAATAACCATCAAAAAGCCCTTAAACCCTAAACCCTAAAAGCCCTAAACCCTAAACCCTAAAACCCCCAAACCCCAAAAGCCCTAAAAGCCCTAACAGCCCTAAACCCTAAACCCTAAAGGACAAGCCGAGCATCACTGTTGAAGCCCAACAGGCCCCACAACTAGGATATCCAGAGCCTCGCGCAAGACACCCAGTTTAGGGCTTTTAGGGTTTAGGGTCTTAGGGTTTAGGGTTTTAGGGTTTAGGGTCTTAGGGTGGCAACTACTCCCAAAGAGAGAGTGCACGGAATGACGACAAGCAGGGTAGGGCTGTTATTTAGGGCTTTGGGCTTTATGTAAGGGTCAGGGTTTAGGGTGTTTCGTTGTGGGCGGTCTGATCTTAGGGGGGTTTCGGGTTTCCGGGGCTATGCATGAAGGGTGCTTGGGGTTTAGGGGTTTAGGGTTTAGGGTTTCTAGATCAAGATTGCGAGGTGAGCGGTCAAAGGCTCTGGGCAGCCTTCAGGAATCGGAAGAAAACCTCCACCCACCGAGCATCAAGTCAGCCTTCTAATAATGTAGGGGCCTTAAATGTTTAGAATAGGGTTTTGGGGCCCATTGTAAGATAATTATAATAAGGAACCCTCCAAATAGTATTAGTAACTATTTAAGCCCCTATATGAGGGCCTGACTATCTTCTTGGGATGCTTTCAAGCCTGGACTGAGAGCCTGGGAGATTGCAAAGATATCCCCAAACCTTAACCTATACTGAACTTAGAACCCAAGCAAAAATTATAACTTCAGCTGTTTCTTAGGGATTATAATAACCAAAAATTAAGAATCATTTCTAAGTACCCCTAAGTAACCACTTGTCCAGCATCCATGGGAAATGAAGGTCGGCCTTTGGGAGTAGTCCTGGACTATAGAGGAATTGTAGTACCGCAAAAGGGTGTTAAGTGCTACCTCCGCTAGTATTGAGTGATCCCGAAACTAGTTTCAGCACATGCTTTTCACTCGCCATGGTTTGCCCACACCCGGAGCCGTTAATCAAATAAAGAACGGGCAGCTGGGAACCGGTAAGCCGAATGTCGCCTCGAAGGCGATGTCCTGCCAACTTGCAGACTCTGCAGACCTCGATCGAGTCTGTCCGTGAGGACGTGTAGTATTAAACTTACGTGAATATCCCTTTCTGTATTGAAAGATAAGCAAATAAGTAAAAATTGACAAAGTAAATCTATGCATATATATATATATATGAAACAGATAGATAGAGAGATCGATAGACAGGTAGATATATTCAGATAGATAGTTCCACATGGGTGCACATCTCTCGATATGTGTAACTACATATGCACCTACATTGACGAGAAAGGTAGCTGTTGTAGCAGAACGGAAAATAGCTGACAAGAAAACAGTTGCCGTCATCCTCACTGTCATCACCATCGCCATCATCAATGTCCTGAGCATCGCTGTATTCGTGATCAACATCATCATCAGCAGCATCAGCATCATCATCGTCGTCATCACCATAAGCATCCTCGTCACCACGATCGCCATCATCAACGGCATCATCATGATTGTCGTTGCCATCGTCATCGTCATCATCGCCACCTCAGGTCTGACTGCGGCTGAGTCGTCGAAGGGCTACTACTACTAATACTACTACTACAACAACTACTACTACTACTACTACTACTACTACTACTACTACTACTACTACTACTACTACTGCTACTACTACTACTACTACGACTACTACTAATAATAATAATACTAATAACAATAATGATACTAATACTACTTACTACTATGCTACTAATACTACTAATACTAGTAGTACTACTAAAACTATTAATGCTACTCGTACTGCTATTGCTACTACTGCTGCTGCTGCTACTACTACTACTACTGCTACTACTACTACTACTAATAATAGTAATAATATATAATAATAATATATAATAATAATATATAATAATAATAATAATCTACCACTACTTCGCCGCGGTAGCAGTAGCAGTAGAAGTGGTACAAGTATTAGGAGTAAAGCTAGCCTTTAGGGGTTTAGGGGTGCAGGGTTTTGCGCTTATGTTTGTGTCAGAGGATGTACCACCTTCGTACGACTCTTTCCCCCTGGGCCTGGAGCGTTGCAGAAACCTGCAGAAACCCCGGCACTGAGCCCTAAACCCTAAACCTAAGCCAGGGCGCTTGGTGACAGGGTCGGCGACATAAACCCAGCCGACCTTGCTCGATTTAGACCCCCTGGTAATGTTTACATGGGAGTTACCGAAAATTTGGGGTGCCTTCTTTTGGGGTTTATGGTTTAGGGATCCTACTATTTAGGGTACTATATTAGGGTCCCCTATTTTCGGAAACTACCACATAGCATGAGGTGCACCTGTTTGTTGTGTCTGAGGACTCACGGCAGCTCAGCTTTACACCTGCTGGGGTTTTATATCTAGGAAACTGGTACTTTTGCGTAGGGTCTGCAAAACCGCCCCTTTCTACTTCGGGCCTGCTTTTGCGGCCGTTGGACTGTGGAAATGCAGATGAGACCTATCATTGTCCGATCGTCCTACAAGACGTAAACACCTCAGAAGTCACGAACTCGACTTTCTGTTCGATGCACATACAAACCTCCCGGATTCTAAAGAGCCCCGAAGGCAATTCGAGTGAACGGAGGCTTCTGACCACAAACGAATACCACAACTGAGAAAACACCGAAAACCTTCGATTCCCAACACTACAACCCAAAAATCCCTGAAGGCCCTAAAGCCTTAACTTAAAATAGGGAGGCCCAAATAGCGACTACATTTTTGGTGGTATTTGAATAATTACCATTGTAACCCACTGTACCCCTGAAACCATACCCCCACACCCCAACCAGAGACTCCAACATCCCTTAATTAAGGAATATACCTCAAATTACAGCAGGTTTAAGGAATATTCCCTAACTAAGGAGTATTGCAGTCTCGGGGCACTCTCAACCCTATAGATCCCCTATAGATCCCTTCACGGAGCCCTAATTGACCCCTTTAAGGTAACCCTTATACATCCCTCAAAGGAACCCTTATAGATCCCTTTAAAGGAACCCTTATAAATCCCTTGCAAGGAACCTTATTGGATTCTCTGGGCACTCGCCCTAAACCCTAAACTCTAAACCCTGAACTCTAAGCCCTAAACCCTAAACGCTAAACCCCAAGCCCTAAGCTCTAAACCCTAAACCCTGAACTCTAAGCCCTAAACCCTAAACCCTAAACTCTAAACCCTAAACCCTAACTGGGCAACCCGGTGCAGCTCGAGAGGCGGCCGCTCTCCTTGCCAGTGTGGTGGAAGTGAGCGCCGCAGCCAGGGTTGCGCGCAGCATTAACATGGCTCCAATACCCCGTAGGCTTTTGCACCAAAATTACGGTTTAAGGTTTAGGGTTTTAGGGTTTAGGGTTTGTATGGGTAGCTGTCAAAATTATGCTCCCTAATTGGGTATCCTAAAATATTAGGTGCCGTATTATAAGAAGGACCCAAGATTGGACCCTAATTTTGACAACCACCCACATGGCTCCAATACCCCGTAGGCGCTTGTAAAGGGTTTAGGGTTAAGGGTTTAGGCTCCAGTACCCTCTCAGCTCTTGTAAAGGGTCCTGTAATGCAGAAACAAGAGGTGTGTGCGGGATTTCAGCATGGGCTTACGCGACGGAGGTACAGTTTCGGTGTGAGATTCTATTGTGCTCATTGCAAATCCTATACCCCAAAGCCCTAAACACTGGACCTCAGAGGCCCGGGACGGGGAGTCAACGAGCAAAGTCTTTCTCAGAGGGCCCCCAGGGTCGCCTTTAGTAAACCCCATAAAGTTGGAAACCCGGATTAAGGCCAAAGAGTGCTGGGATTCCCTATACTTTACTCTTAAGGATTGAGGCTATGGAGTTTCCAACTTTTGGGCTTCTACTGTAAACCCAAAAAATGTCTTGAGATTGAGTTGAGACTTGATACGGCTAACCCGAAACCCGAAACCCCCAAATGTGCGTTAGTCTGTCCCTTACAAGGCTCTTCGTAGATCAAGCTGAAAGGATGTGAAGGCTGCAAAAAACTCTTCTACTTCTAATCTCAATAGTTGTTGTGCTCGAAAATTAGAATAGGAGCCCCCAGGGAGTGTAGTAATAATACTTATTCAGGCTTTTTACGTGAATGGAGGCTCAAAACTTGGGGGAGCAAAGCTGCAAAGCCAGGACGGCAGTCAGTTCGATTTAGGGCTTAGGGGTTTTGAGCCCATCTCTGGGACACCCGGGCAACACCTTCAATCAGGAAAGTCTCCAACGAAAGTTCGGAGTTGTTCTGGCCAATAGCATGGCCCATGTCGGCGTTGGCGTGCGAGCCTCTTCAGAAAAAGGGGTACCCAGAGACTCCAATATCCCTTAATTGAGGAATATACCTTAAACTATAGCAGGGTCCCTAATATGATTTAAGGAATATTCCCTAATTAAGGGGTATTGGAGTCTCTGGGCGGTACTCTAAACCCTATAGATCCCCTACCCAATAGATCCCTTTAAAGTAACCCTTATAGATCCCTTAAAGGAACCCTTATAGATCCCTTTAAAGGAACCCTTATATAGCTTCCATTTCCAAGTTTGTTCTTGAAGTCCGGGACCCCGCATTAAGCAACACGATGCCGTTTCGATGATGCAGGCTTTCTCACGACACGAAAACCCTAAACCCCTAAACCCTAAACCCCTAAACCCTAAACCCTGAACCCTAAACCCTAGACCCTGAACCCTAATCCCAAAATAAGCCTCAGCTGCGGTGCTTCGGCGGTCCTTCGGCAGGGCATCCGTCGCCAACCTCAGGCCCAAGCTACAAGAGAAACCTGGGTTCTTGAAACGCAAACGAATCGAAGTTCTTTTAGGGTTTAGGGTTTAGAGCTTAGGGGTTTAGGGTTTAGGGTGTAGGGATCTATAGTATATCATGTTGAAGTTCCCGTAGTTAGTAATCGGGATCTACAGTATATCAGTTTGCTGCCAAACGTGTGGTAGATGACTCTGTTTGAACCATCAAGAACCCTTCAAAGAAGCGCAAACTTAAGCTGAATTCCTCAACCAGACCCCAGGAGAGGCAGTCCTGCGGTTGCACCTAAACCCTAAACCCTAAACCCTAAACCCTAAACCCTAAACCGACAACCCCGGAGTTCCTTCACTTACGGGTGACCCGTAGCCCAAAGGCCTACCTCCCCAGACCCCCGGGAGGATCTAGAAAGTCGATCCCCTAATTTGCGTCCCTATACTACTAAGGGTACTTGATAGGAACCCCCATTAAGGGATCTACTTCTTGGATTTTTTTCGGGGGTCTGGGTCTTCAGGACATATACTTAATTACTTGTATTACACAGAGGGATTATGGTACCGAGCCCCAAAAAGGTTAAGGGTGACCTACTCTACTACTAGGTATATGCATGAGGAAACCATACTGTACTAAGCCCTAGACATAGAAGAAACAATCATGATGGCTGACCCTAAACCCTAAACCCTAAACCGGCTGTCCCTAAGAATCTAGGATAGCACCTTTGCAGCTGGGCCAGTTTTGTGGGGTTTTGGGCACCTGTGCAGTTTTTGGCTGGAGATCTCCCTACCGTCCGGAAGCCTCCGCTTTAGTAGCCCGCCTTAACCCACCAGAACCTACTTTTTTTGTAGGGTCCCATTATAACACCCTAATATGGAATTTATCGGGACCCTACAGACAAGAAGCCTCTGCTTTAGTAGCCCCACTTACGTAATTGCAACAAGGCTAATTCTAGCAGAATTATAGCAGCCAGCCCCTAAACCCTAAACCCTAAACCCAAACCCCTCATTGGGAAACATTCAAAGCTTCTGTGTTCAACCTAAACCCTAAACCCTAAACCCCTAAACCCTAAACCCTAGAACCTAAACCCTAAACCCTCGAACCCTGAACCCAGGGCTTCGAATTGAGGGCTCAGAGTTTCGGTGCAGCAATATGCGGATTAGGGTTTGGGATTCAGGAGACAGGGCTGATGGGGTTTAGGGTTCGGGGTTTAGGGCTGAGTTTGGGGTTTAGCGATACTTTCACCCCAAATGACCTACCTTTACTTAAGAACTTATACAGAGAAACCACAATACGGAACCTAACCTTAACAAGGCAGGGCTTATGGGGTCCGGATATGATGGGAGGCCGAAAGGGGGGTTTAAGATTCTTGGGGTAAGAAATCCTTCATATGAACCCTATTATGGGAACCCGAATCCCTACTAAACCCCCATAGGCTAAAGCCCCGTTTATGAAGGCATAAGGTTTAGAGAACTCTAGCTCTGAATCAAAAACCCAGCAGGTCCCTTGAGAAGCCGGCGGTTCGGCAGGGATGCCCTCAGAGGCGCGCGACACCTGCAGACCCACAGACTCCGATATCCCTTAATTAAGGAATATACCTTAAATTATAGTAGGATCCCTAGTAAGATTTAAGGAATATTCCTTAATGAAGGGATATCGGATATTGGAGTCCCTGAAATCACCGACCCTCTATTCGTCGAGTTGGAGGGAAACCCAAACGGTTTGGGGTTTCGGGGTCCGAAACCTGAACCCGGAACCACATTCACCCTAGACGCCCGGTTCCTATACTGAACTTAGAACCTAGAAACAAAAATTATTTTAGCTGTTTCTTAGGGATTGTCATTTACAAAAATTAAGCACTATTTCAAATTACCCCTAAGGTTCGTGGCGCTTCCATTTCGCCACAGCTCCTCTGCCTAAATCTCCCAACAGAGCACCCTTCAAGGAATCTGCCCTAACAGCAACAATCAAGTTGGCAGAGAGCATGCAGTTTGTGGCGCGCCTGCGGCGTCATCAGTGGTGGCGCCGGCCCAAGTGTCTGTGACAGCTGGATTATGCTTGCTATTCCCTAAACCCGAAAGTTACGCGGTGGGCTGCTACTGCGTACTGCAATGAGCTGAGTCAGGGAAAATGCGCTGTCTCCACCTCTCTGGGTTGGGGCTGTCGGGATTAGTCACCGCTGCATTGTAGCAAAACAAGACATAAACCCTGAACCCTAAACCTTGGCTGACTTCTAAACCCCTCCTAAAAGTTAAACTTCCAGCCTCCTTATTATAGTTCATATAGAAACCCAAAAAGTTAAAGTCCAAAGAGCCAACCAGAAGAACGCCAAGAAACGGTTTTGTTGACCGTTACGGGGGCTTAGGACTGGTGAGTTCCCGAAAATCGGGGACCCCAATACAGTGCCCTAAATAGAGGGTTTAGGGTTTAGGGTTTAGGGTTTATTCCTATTTATAAGGACCCCAAAATAAGGTATCCCTATTTTCAGAAACTCCCATTTAGGGCTTAGGGTTCAGGGGAGCTTGGGGTACGAAAGGATCGAAACCTCGAGTTTGGATCTTGCACCCTAAACCCTAAACCCCAAACCCTAAACCCTAAACCCTAAACCCTAAACCCCAAACCCTAAACCCTAAACCCTAAGCCCTAAACCCCAAACCCTAAACCCTAAACCCTTGTGAAAGAACATGCTCTCTTCTGTGGCTGAGGGGTTGTCAATGATGCTTTTTATCCGTGGCTTAGGATCAAGCTTGCGGAACACTGACCTAGGGCCAGCAGTCGGCTAGCAGTTGCAATGTAAAGATGTACAGCATCGCATGACTTAGCCGTCCCGAGCAGTGGTCAGTTCTGTGCGAAAATAACAATCCTTAGCAGTGCGTGCTCATGGTTTCTTGGCGCTGAGTGGTTAAGACCTTGAACTGTGGATCACCTCTGTGAACCAATTCGATACACGGACCTTTAAGTCCTACAGGTTATGAGCGTCCAAGCTTCGGTGGGCGACTCCGCTACAAGACGAAGTTCAGAACACGGTGTTGTGAGAGAAGGGCAACAAATGATGAACGGCGTGGACCCAGTGCAAGCTACGGCCACCCCAGTCTTACCGAGCTCTGGAATGTTTGAAAATCCGAATGTTTCAGATGTGGGACAGCTGGAGGATAGAACCGCAGCAAGAAGCAGTGTGGAGCCACCTACACAGATGCCTCAACCTTCCACAGTTGAGCCGCCGTATCATGAGCTTCCGCATCAGGGCGCGAACGTTATAAACCAGGATCGTGCTGCATCTACAGTGGGACTGCAGGGCATGTCTTCACCTACTGGTTCGGCGATGAGGGTCCAAGAGTTTTACACCGCGCATACCGGAACACCAAACGAAAGTCAAGGAGTGAGATGGATGGCTAGGTTTACTGAGCTGTTGAGAATGACGGCGTCAAGGAGTGCCAATGGGATGGATAGAGTTCTGGATGGTTTGGGTATCACCAATGTTTCCCAACATCGAGAGCATCGTACAGTTGAAGCAACTGTGACTAATATGCCAATGAACTTCTCCCCTCCCGAGGCGCTCCCTTCTCCACCGGCAACACAGGTGCCAGCTATTCCAGGTTCGTGGTCGACTCCACCGGCGATTGAGGGCCCACTTTTCGGCCCGGCGGAGTTGGCAAGGATGCAACAAGCCCAGAGAGACTTTCCCATGATCTACGGAAGGCCCCAGGGTCAGGGTTCGGAAGGTGATTCTGAGCGATCGTCAAGACTTCAAGCGGAAGTTCAACGACAGCTTGAAGAGTACAAAGTGAAGCAACAGCAAGAAGTCGAGAGGCTTCAACGAGAGATTCTTCAGCTTCGGTGTGAAAGGGAAGAGGAGCGTGCGAGAAATCGAATGGCAAGTGCGGTCCCTACTGTGGCGCAAGGTCTTCTACCTCAGAGTTACAGTGTACCCGAAGGGAATCAAGGACCACCACAACCACCTACGGTTCCTCAAGGAGCAGGAGCGCACGGAGGCAATCCAGCTAATGTACCTCCTCCTTCACTCCAACCACGAGGCTTGAATGAATATGTAGGGGAACAACATGGACAGGGTGCTATAAGACCTCCTCCTCTACCTCCTGGCCAGATCGAACCCCCACGTGCTCCTGGTCTTCAGTTTCCAGGTCAAAGTATATTTGCAGGGCTTCAAGGTTCCCTTCCTCAAGACTCAGGTGTACCAGTCGGAAACCCAGGTCCTGTACCTCAGAGTTACAGTGTACCCGGAGGGAATCAAGCACCACAACCACCTGGTCCCACAGTTGATGTACAAGCAGGTGGTCTTTCTGGTCCGTTACCAACCGTCACTCAAGCAGGTGGTCTTTCTGGTCCGTCGCCGAGCGCAGCTTAGAAGTGGCTGGGACAAAAAGGTCAAGATGGCACCATAGCGATGTTGGCAGATGGGATGGCACAGCTACAGGCGGCCATGATAGAGCAGATAGGAAAGAAGGGCGAGGGTGATCGATCACCTGAAACAATCAAGCCTGGTGTTCATGCCCTTCCTACACTCCGAGAAGTTTGTGCAGAAACTGCTTGTGTTGATGTTATGGACTGGTTGGAGATGATTCATGGCCCGATGTCAGACCTGTCCGACAGCAGTGCAGGTTGGTGGCTCAGTGTGAATACCGAGGCGAACAGAGCATACTCAGCGTGGTCACTGGCGAGTCCCATGGACAGACTCTCGATCGCACCAGAGACTGCTGGCTTAGAGGACGGAAGGTTTTCTCGGTTGAATAGCCGGGCGGCTGCGATGGTGATGGCTGCACTACATGACTCGGTAAAGCAGGATGTTGTGGCACGGAGATTGGCGGGATCTACGGTGAGAATGGTCTTTCGGATCCTTACCCTTTACCAACCAGGAGGAGAAGGGGAAAAAATAAAGATCCTGCAGAACCTTCAGTCCCCGAACCCCGAGACCGAAGCGAGTGCCGCGGTTACTGCACTGAGAACGTGGAGCAGGTGGCTGCGCCGATGTACGGACTTGGGAGTCCAGGCTCCGGATCCGAGCCTCCTGGTCAGAGGCCTCCAGCGTATCGTCCAGGCAGTCTTGGAAAAGAGTCAGGATGCTTCTTTCAGAACTTCTTTGGTCAAAAGTACGCTGCAAGTAGACACGAATCCCAGCTATGACAAAGTCGACAACTACTACAAGCACTTGATGGCTGAATGTGAGGCACTTGCAGTTGCAGCGACCAGTGTGCAGATGGTTACAGTGACTACTCCAAGACCGGAGCCAAAGCTGAGACCTATGAAGCCTGAACCCAAGACAATACCAACACCACCGCCTCCCAGGACTGTTCCTACGCCGACGCCTACTACAACAACCGAGGACGGGAACAAGCACGAGAAACCAAAGGGTGAAGTGCCTTGCCGTTTCTTTGGGAAGTCAGCGAAAGGGTGCACGAGAGCGGGCAAATGCCCCTTTCTCCACAGCTGGGAAGGGCTCGACAAAAGGGACAGATGTTTGGCTTGCGGGGGCAAAGGTCATGCGGCTAGAGATTGCCCTACTAAAAAGTCGCCAGCTACTTCTACGAATGGGACACCGAAGCACGGGAATGAGAGGACCACGAATACCCCGACTTCGTCATCTACTACAAGTGCTCGCACTGTTCGTGTTGAGGAGAAACCCGAGGTTGTGCCAGTACCAAACAAAGGCGCTGACGAGAGCTCTACCAATGCGGCCGAAATCAAGGAGGTCCTTGCGGATGTTGGCAAGGTCTTAAAGGCTATGTCGGCAACGACGCTGAAGAAGTTCGGTGTTCAGGATACCAAGGCCAGCGGTGAGAAGGTGAAGTCGGTAAAAAGCAGTGAGGACAGCGATGAAGGTGTCGATGGTTTGCTTGACAGCGGAGCGAGCCACGCAATGAGGCCGGCTTCGAATGTGGAGTACAACTCTGGAAGTCCGGTCAAGGTAACCCTTGCAGGAGAAGATGTTCGTATCTTAAAGCAGAACGACCAGGGCACGATCTTGGTGAAGGAGCAGGGTGAGCCAGTACAACCTATTGTTCCGTTAGGTGCACTCATTGAGAAGTTGGGTTACACCTTGAATTGGGGACCGAAGCAGTTGAAGCTGACGCACCCCACAAAGGGCCCCATCACTGTGAAAGTGCGAAACCATTGTCCTGAGGTGGCTGCTTGTGATGCCCTGAATATGATACGAGAGTTGGAAATGAGTCAGGTACAAGAGTTAAACTCTCACGTTGAAACTTTGCGGGCTCGCTTGGAAGTCTTGAAAAAGGATGATGACAGAGACTGGACAGACCTGCTGAAGGAGTTCCAGAAGACCGGAAAGCGGGGTGTGTTGTTGAAGGCCATCTTGAAGTGCCCGTTTACCCGAACTCTACCTGCCGAGGTTCAGTCTATGCTCCTCGAGGACTTCAACCCGGACTCTGGCGAGAAATACTTGAAGGCTTTGCCTCTGACTCGAAGGAAGCGAAGGGCATTGTTGAGCTCACCAAATTGGGTGGTTTCAATGTTTCAGGGAGAATGTGAGCGTGATGATCCACTGAGGGCTACACCAAAGGCAGGAAAGATCCTGTTTGAGGTTGATGTCAAGGCCTCGAAGTTATGGAACATTCACTTCTCCTCCGGGGTCTACCAGGTTTTGTTGTGGGCGGCTGCAAAGGGCAAGATCTCCGATGTGGTTGTTTCGTTGCCGGATCGAACATGGCACACCTGTCAGACCCCACGACGAGGACCGGAGTGTGAGCCAATGAGGACAAAGGATGCACCGTATGGACGTGATGGACTACAACCCATGCAACAACAACGAGTGCATCAGGAAACCTCCTGCGCAGCAAAGTCAATGTTAATCTGGACTATCGCTATGATGGCAAACAAGGGCAATGTTGGCTTCGCTCTGGAGCTCCCCTCAGATCCGGAATGGCCTCATGAAGGAGAATATCCTTACTCGACCTTATGGAACAGTGAGTTTTGGAAGGCTTTTAAGTCGGTGAGTGGAATGAATGTTTCCTCCTTCTACATGGGCAATTATGGTCACCGGGCGAAGCGACCCACAACAGTCGG